TACCGGAAGAATGTTAAACGTTATCCAAAACCGCAATGTATCAACAATTTATATTAATATTAAATAAACTTACATGACCCACTGGTTGCTTGGTTTATTTTATCTGTATATGTATTTCAGATTATTATTATTGCGATGATAATTCAAACTCTTAGCGATGCGGAGTTGATTTAATAGTTTTTAGCATAACTTTTGATGTATTATAAATTATGAGCGTCGTTAAAATTTTCAACATGAGGTCAATGATCCGAGAGCAATAAAAAGAAACATTGTGGCCCCCAATGGGGCGTCCACGTACGGTGTCGATTCCCCTGCTCTACAATTTTTAAGTATAATAAAATTAAGTGTTTTATAAATAATTACACGTAAATTGTTATTATATTGTTCCATCGCAAGTGTAAATGGGGCGCTGAGTGAATATACTTTGAATAAATAAAGATTGCGTAAAGCGTCTAGACACGTTAATATTAAGATTCAGGATATGATACATTGTGGTAGTAAATGGGGAGTTAATTTACCCAAAGACGCGATCTTAAAATGATTAAATCACCCTTACGAGCTGGTAACACAACTACAAGAAGTTGGTGAGCCCCAGATCATTCCAATTACACTTGGTACACGCCTTCGTGCATTGTAATAACGACATTAACACCCCGGAGTCCTCCTCCCGAGGCCGGGTTAAATTGCCGTCAAGGGTTCTTGCCTGCAACCCCGAGAGACCGACCGCATCATCTTGCTATTGCTATATCTCTGGATTTGATGCTCGGTGGCTGCTGTTAGCTTGTAGTAATAGCGGATTCAAATTGTCCTGAGACTTACAACTACACGGTGAGTGGTTCTCGTCGATCACCGGGCCAATTACTTTACCGCCATGAATATCTCAAGGCTGTAATGTTCTTCCATGCGTAACCTTTGTCTCTCGTATCCTCTCTCTTACATTGCTATCCGTGTTTCTCAGCTCTTACTCTGCTCAACGTGATGCATTAACGCCGTGCCGGCATTCCATCTCAGATACACCCGTTGAAATTTTATACATATTCAATACCGTATAGAGTGTAGCAGCTTCGAGTACACTCCGATATACGAGTGCTCTATAACTTATACGTATTATCGACTCGTACAGCTAAGCTTGAATTCTGCTGTTGGTAGATATTTTTTTTTAATACATTTACAATAACAATAATAATAAAATATAAGCGTATACTTTATCTCTTTATATATTATACACGATATTACGTTTTTTCACACTTGTTACTTAGTATTCCGGGTTGACTTGTGACTTCTCTTCTCTCATCCTCCTGATCAAAGGATTATGTATATTCTATTCGTTATATTACTGTACTCTCTCAACTTCTCAGTCTCTGTCTTTTTCCTCTTATTGTACTGATGATGTGCAACGCATTCGTTATTTTATGGCGCGGATTTCTATTTTTAGGAACGAGAATCGAGAATACCCGAGACGGGTGATAGGAAGAAACACATTTTTCGAGGCCTCAGGCCAAGTTCATGACTGTTGAGATCTTTACTCGCTGCTTCTCGTCCAATATTCATGTATATAAAATATTTACCAACACCGGCACGTGTTACCAGAGTAAGAATCACCTTAAAAAAATCGATATATTTATTATGTATATCCAGATATATAAATATAAATATTCCTGGTGATTAAATGTATTGATCGGTCTGGATAAATGGATACGAGATAAATGAATAATAAAATTTAACTTACATTGAGCGAGACAGTTGCTGTCAGTTATCTTGGCACATCTGAATATCCGCTGGGAAAAACGACCAATGAATATTTAATTCAACCAGCAGACTTTCACTTCAGGGACTTACTTTTTTTTCTTTTTATATATAGGTATACCTGGAACTTGGATCCCTTTTGATTTTGATTTCATCACATCACCATTTAATAGTTATTAGTGTTTTAACATCTGCTGGTATTTTTTGTTTTTATATAACATGAGTATCTCCATTTAAAAGTCACAGTAAAAAAATTAAAAAAATTAAAAAAATAAATATATATATATTTATATAAGATCGCTAAAGGCATGAATCTTTGGTAACTTGCCAGTATCTTAAATGACCCTCGACAAATAAATTGCACCTGCTATTTTTCTACCAATAGCATTTTATTTAACTTGGCGCTTTTACACATATACTTTTATATTCCAGATATGGAAGCAGAGTTTATGAATAAAAATTAAATAATATCCATAATTTAAAAAGTATATACGGATAGGTAGTATAAATTATATTTATATCATAAAACTTTTTTAAATAAAATTCATGTAGATTTTATATATTTATAAAGAAGAAAACAAGTTTCATGTTATACATTATAAATTAATAATTACTTTATAAAAATAAATGACTTATGGTGTTGTTAGAGCATACGCTGATACATATACTTTATTTTAATCAATGAAAAAGTTGAATGACGAGAAAAAAGCAAGTGTGAAAAATATTCCCACGTGATACACAACATAATAACAACAAGACAAGTGGAGTCAGTTTATAACGCATATAATATTAATAAAACACTCACAGGACAATCCAGCGCGAATAAATACATAGACTCGAGGGGGATATATCGCCGTAATCATGGGTAATTTTTTATACTCTACATAATTTAATGTAGATTGACCCACCGAATACAAAATTGACATAATGTCTCTAATGCACGCAATCATTTTAATGACTAGTAAATAAAATAATAAATAAATCTAAATCATAATCACAATGATAAATATTTATTAAAGCAACATTAATAATGAAAAAAAAAAAAAAACTCACTGTTGAAGACGAGTAATTTCCTGGTGGATCCAAGTCTCTTTATCGGAGATTTAACTCCGTCAGTCTCGTGTTCTTCATCCATTCTGTTTGTTTGTTATTGTTCTGTTGTACTGGTGCTATCCAGCGGCGCGTCCAGTTGACAAGATAGCAATAAGTTAACTTTTATATGTACTCACCCCCGCACAACACTTTATTTATTTATGTGTATGATAAATAAATATTTATCTTATTTTATTTCACTTCAGTACATTTCTCGTCGCATTTTCCCGAGCACTTCTCTACGCAAGGAGAAAGAACCGGTTTTCAAGCACATCGGAATCCGTTTTAAAATCAACGATTGGCACGATTAACGCCGTTGAATCAGTTCTCTTGTATATGTATATATACAGAAAAAAAATATTATTATGTATAACTTGGTAAGATTGAAGTAAACTTTAACTCCTGGCTGTGATCGTGCCCCTGTACGAACTTTGATTCAATTTCTGAAAAGTAGAGAGTTACGGTAAGTGATTTATGACAATAAAGTTAGTCGACATCTAAAAATTTTTAGAATTTTTTTTATTGAAAAAATTTCACTTGTTAAAAATTATACGTGCAATTTTGTAAAAATATTTTTTTTTTGGTCTAATTTAATTAATAAAAAAAAATAAAAAATTATTGAACGTCGGTTAATTTATGAAAATTAAGTTAGCCGACATTTAAAAATTTTTTTAATTAAAAAAATTATTGCAAAATAATAAAAAAAAAATTTTCATTTGTAAAAAACTTGAAAAACTCTAAGTGCAATTTTTAAAAAATATTTTTTAGTTCTAATTTAATAATTCATTATTATTATTATTATTATTATTATTATTATTATTATTATTATTATAACTAGTGTAATATAATTTATAATGTAATATATTTACTTGTCTGTTTGTGTATGAACATAATCGCTCACGCGAAAACTGTAACAGCGCGCGCGAAAGGACTAGCTCTGTGGGGGCACATGATGATCCAACTGCTGGCTGCACTGAAGACGCAACAAGCAACAATCAACAATCACTCAACGGTTAGATGTGTTATGTGTGTTTTGTAATATTTGTTAGGATGTGTACTATTTTTTTTTAGTTAATGATATCAAAATAATGTACTACGGCTACCAAGACGTGACCGAGTCGCGGAATAAAGTGGAGTGCCAGTGAAAGAGACCACCGCTAGTTCTAAGGTCTCACTGATGCTAGCCGGAGGTCAGAGAGGGAGAAACACAAAGATATTCTTGGAGCCCAAGCGTGGTTATATTAAACATTGGGGGGCCCGCCGCCATTCGCGTCCTTCGAGTTGCTTAGCAACTTTGCTCCCCGTTGTTTTTTCTTTCCACCCGGAATTCTACCTCACTGCGACATCTCACGGGTCGTTGCGGTTCTTTGAGCTAATGTGAATATTATCGATTGAATAAAAAATATAATTTTATTAATAATCTTCTAATAATCAATACTTACTTTTATTTATTCACTATTATTAGTATATTTTTTTTTCCAGTAGTGTAATTTTGAAAATTTTTTCAAAATTGTCATACAAAAAAATTCAAGTGTTTTTTTTTTATTTGCAATTGACAAAAATTGATTTTATTTTCAAATTGCTTTTAATTAAATTACTAATTATCGCTATAAATTAAAAATTATTATTTTTTTTTATTGAAAAAGTTATTACAAAAAAAATTCAATTGTAAAAAAATTTAAAAACTTTAAGTGCAATTTTTAAGAAATATTTTTTTGTTCAAATTTAATAAATAAAAAAAAAATTAAAAACATCAGCTAACTTTAGAATTATAAAATTATTTTATTAAATTTGTATATAGTTAAAAAGATCTTTATTTTTTTTTTTTATAAATTTAATTTAAATTTTTTAGAAAAAAACTCGTCAGCCATTTTGATTTCGCTGCTTGTAAATTCTGCGCCAAAGAGAAATTACATTTCGTCGATAACAAAGAAATTACACAAAAACAAAACAAATTTATTTTCATTATTTTCTTATTGTTATTATTATAATTTTGTTATATATTTTATCTTCCTTTTTTTTTTTCAATACAAGAATAATAATCGCGTCTCTCCAGTATTTTTATATAAACAAGAATTTATTTTTATTAATTGACTGTCAAATAATCTTCCGATAATTTAATAGTGTTGTAATAAGTTAATATAATAATTATTTATTGCAAAATGGTTGCAAAAGGTAGGTTGATAAAACTATTTTTGTTTACACACGTTACCGGTATTGTAGGTTATTTTTATAAATTTTTTATTTAATACTCCACAACAGAATGTATTTATTGATTAATATACACTGTTGTCTTTTATTAGCTAGATTATGATCTACGATTACTTCGACCTGAGTATTTTATTAATAAAATTTGTTATTTATGAAAATAAATAACAATGACAATAATAACAATGTCATATTTTCAGATGAGAATATTGGTAAGCAGTTGGACCAAAATGATGTTGATAAAAAGGGATCAAGCATCGAGATTGGCTCAGATCCGTCAGCTCCGATAACTCGCCGAGGTATCTTGACCTCTTTGCTGACTGGAAAACCGATGGAAATACCCGAGCAAGACATTGTAATTACAAATTTTTTTACACTTCCTATTATCAATTAGTGCAATTAGATTTAATCTTCATTACTTTTTCCAGTTAGGAAAATGCCGATTCGTATCGGAGTTCGAAAAATTAAATCGAATCGGTGAAGGTACTTATGGAATAGTTTACCGAGCACGAGATACTAAAACCGACAAAGTTGTGGCTCTAAAAAAAGTAAGAATGGAGCACGAAAAAGATGGCTTGCCGGTCAGCGGGTTGAGAGAAATAAGTGTCCTCTTATCTTGTCGGCATGAAAATATCGTCCAGTTAAAAGAAGTTGTGGTTGGTAAAAGTTTAGAGAGTATATTCTTAGTAATGGAGTACTGCGAACAAGATTTAGCTAGTCTTTTAGATAATATGCAAGCGCCCTTTTCTGAAAGTCAAGTAAAGTGCATTGTGTTACAAGTATTAAAAGGCTTACGATATCTTCATCATAATTTTATAGTGCATAGAGATTTAAAAGTATCTAATTTACTTATGACCGATAAAGGTTGTGTAAAAATCGCTGATTTTGGTCTTGCGAGGTGGTTTGGTCTACCTTTAAAACCTATGACGCCTAGAGTTGTAACTCTTTGGTACAGAGCGCCTGAATTACTTCTGCAAGCCAAGACACAAACCACTTCTGTTGATATGTGGGCAGCTGGTTGTATTTTAGGTAATTTATTTTATTTTAAATAATTTATAACTCGTATCTTTGCATGGTAATTATTTACAAGTGGGGACAACTGTTTTAATTTTCATTTTTTTAAACAAAATTTTGATATATTTTTTTTTGAAAAATACATAAAAAAATGAACAATTTAAAAAAAAAGATGATAATCACAATTTTAACAAATTTTTTAGAAAATTGTGATGTTCAACTTTTGTTTTTTTTTTTTTTTTTTTTTTTTTTTAATTGTTTGTATTTTTATGTGATTTTCAAAAAAAATATATAAAAAAAAAAATAAAATAGAAATTTTATCCAAAAACATGAAAGCCAAAATTTTTTCCAACTTTTGAAGGCAAAATAACTATTGAAATATTAATTTTTTAATATTTTCGATATCCCCACCATAAATCCGTCGTAAAAACTAGCAGAATAAAAAAAATTAAAAAAATCCTCATTTTTCACCTAGATATGGCCAAAAATAGGTTCGACCCGACTTGTAAATAATTAATTTTAACCCCTATTAGTGGCACTTTTTTTTTTCAATGAAAAAATGTTCTTACGGCATCTTAAAAATAATATATTCATTATTGAAATTAATGATTTCATTAATTGAATAAGTACCAAAATTAAAGAGAGTGTCAGTAATGGGGTCCTCGCCACTGATGGGGTCTTTTACCCTAGCGGTAGTTAATTTATCCTTGTAAAAATTAAAGGTGAATTACTTGGACACAAACCACTCTTGCCAGGAAGATCGGAGATAGCGCAATTAGAATTGATAGTCGATTTACTCGGTACACCGAGCGAGGCCATTTGGCCAGAATTCAACTCACTGCCAGCTTTACAAAACTTTACACTCAAGCAGCAACCGTACAATAATCTGAAGCAAAGATTTCCTTGGCTCAGCGCAGCTGGTCTCAGGTTATTGAACTTTCTTTTCATGTACGACCCCAAGAAACGCGCTACTGCTGAAGAGTGCTTGCAAAGTAGTTACTTTAAAGAAGCTCCTCTGCGTAAGTTTGTAAAAATTAAAATACAATACAGTAATTAAATAATAATTTGTTATTAATTATTTATCAACGACTTGTTAATTTATAGCTTGTGATCCAAAATTGATGCCGACATTTCCTCAGCACAGAAACATGAAGAAATCGAGTCAACCTAGAGATGTTCGTGAACCAGAACCTCCTGTCAGCGATCAGACTAATAATTTACCAGCTATATCTGATTTAGTGAGTGCAATACTGATAATTTAATTAAATTTATTTTTATAAATAAAATAATTAATTATTTATTCTTTAATTTTCATTCCAGTTAGGATCATTGGTAAAGAAGAGACGCGTAGAATAATCATCAGTAATTTATATCAAAAAGAGAACGGAATTAATAAATAATATTATCATTAAATTTTCTTAACTCGCAATAACGATTTTCAGTGTAACAATTAATGATTTTTTTTTATTTTAGTATTAAACACGTTTTTCAATAGCTATAATAAAAATAAATTCTTATCTTAATAATTAACGACTAAAATTATCTCATTTTAACAGTACAAATAATCTAAGATTGATTTTCTATTTGAGCTAAAAGTTTTCTTTCGTAAACTCCATGAGGGTCGTATTTGGCGACCAATTTTGCCCAATCAACTGGATATAGACTTCTTATCTCCTTCATCAGATTAACAGCGCGTTTTTTGTCACTTACAGTACAAGCGTTGCAATTGTTCTTTATGTCTTCCAACAAGAACTCTGAAAAATAAAATAATTAATAATAATAATAATAATAATAATAAAAAATGAGTAATTAAAGAATTAGGATTGCTGGTCATGTAACATTCAACTGTAATACCATATTATTATCAAGTACACGTCTTTCAAGTTTTTGTTCGAAGAAATAATGCGTCATTAATCGACGATTACTCAAGCATTAGAAGCAATCGAGAAAGTTCAAAGTCTTGCGTAATTATAGTACTTAAACTTTCCTTTTTAGTCATCAATCAATACTCAAAATGTTTTACGTCAAGTAATAAATAATGAATTATCGTTAATGGATTGTAAATCATAAATTTTAATATAAAATTTTTTTAATATTTAAATGGTAAGTAATTTTATTCTATTTTATTTCATTTTTAAAATTTGAGTATGTTATTTTTAAAAAAAAATCGATTTTTTGAAAATTTCACACTAATTAGAAGAAAAATAATAATTGACTTACTTTTGACTTTTCCACCATTTCCAGCACAAGTACCAGTACCCATCAAACATTTAAAAATTGGCTGTCTGATCCGTGAATTTTCCATCGCTTTTAAGATCTCAGCATTGCTTGGAAGTTGACTATAATCCGATGATCCAGAAGAAACGACTGATAATCCGATCAAGCTTAAAAACACCACGAGTAACTTCATAGCGACTGACTTGAGTCAGAATAAATCCAAGGGTTTTAAAAAGTAACCGGAGATAAAAACTGATTATTCGGAAGGTGAACGTTCAAGTGTAAGTTGGTGAAATGACGGCGTTTATATAGGAGAGAGCTGGCCGGTGATACCAGCAGGAGAGGGGTTTACACGATCTTTTAACTCTGGTAACTACCTGCACTGTATATCATCATGAATAAACCCACGAGTTTTTTTTTTCTCCGTAAAGAAAAGACATATTCATCTGGCTCGCTCGAGCGTTAACAACAGAGAGAAAGAAAAAATAATTTGAAAAAAACCCAGTGTCTTGTAATCACTGAAAAGTATGTTGTGCGTACATAAAAACGTTTTTCTTAATATATAACATTTTTTTTTTTTAGCCTTTTATCGTTTCGGTTTCGAGAGAGTTGATGATCATTAACTACTTGGTCGGTGATATTGCGCAGATGTTGGGTTTAATTTTAAACTATAAAGACTAATGGACTTCTATTCCGGCTATTCATTGATTTGTAAATACAAAGAGAGTCTAGTCATTTTATGTTAATTTAAATATTTATTATCATTATCAGGAATAATATAATCTGAGAATTGATTTACTGAATCTATTTGTTTATTCAATTAATTGCAGGCTGTCTGCAGGACGGAAATAATTTTTCTTCAAGAGATAGCTAATTTAAGCGGATTATTTATTTGGGAACTCATCTAAAATGCCGGTTGGATCTATCGCTGGATTGAGTGTCTACACTTTGAGAGCTGGAGTAGAGTATGAAAGTTATTTTCAACCTGGCAAACTAAATTCATCAGTTTAGTTTACTTATGCTTGACTACTTACACTACTATCGGGAGTTTCATTGGGGAGTATCATCAAATAAAATCAGTGTTGCGATGAGAGAAAAAAATACGAGTTTTAAATACAAGATAACCGCTCTGAAGAGTGAGCACCACAGGAACACATTTTTAATGTAGAACGTGAGATAATAATAGAATTTTTATAATAAATAATAATACTACTTGTGATTTATAAATTTTTAAAACGTAAATATTTATATAGTAAATAGTAGAAAAAAAAACATCGAGATTCACTCGTACATCACTTGAATAATTATGTATTATAAATTATAAGCATGCTTTGAAATTTAATCACGTTTATATACATTGCAGACATTACGCAACCGTGACTTTGGCAATCATATTATAGACTGGAGACATACTCTATCAAAAGCAATGATAATTACTCTTGTAGCAGGCTTCTTTAATTATTAATAAGCTTTAAATCCTCTTGATTGTCTTATCGATAGACTGATTGCAATCACAAGCGAACATTCTTCATTTAAAGTTTGTTGACCGGTCAGTTCTGGTGGTCGCTGAGATAATTGATCCACGGCTACGTTGATGGTCATTTTCTCTCCACAGCCCTAGAATGAAGAATATATGATTATTATCAGCAGACTATGTCAATTAGGTCAAGTAAAATAACTTTGCATCTTAATTCTTGTCATTGCAGTGATTTCAATGCTAGATAAAGAGAATAGAAGTGTTTGAGAATAATTGGGGTGAAGAAGATATATAAATTTATTTTTTAAATAATTAGCAATTTTCTAAGAAAAAATTAATTTGTTGGAAATTTTTAGTTTGTTTTTTAGCTGAAGAATTAAAAATTTTTTTTATTATCATTTTCTTGTTAAAAAAAAAATTTCTAGATTTGGCAAAGAAAAATTTTGGTACTTAACTAGATGAAACATTGATGAAAATAAAATTAGCAGACAGCTGACAATTTTTTTTTTTTTAAGTATAATAATTATAAAAAAATTAATAGAAAAAATTCCACATGTAAAAAATTTAAAAAACTATGCATGAAATTTTTTAAAAATACTTTTCTATCGCTAATTTAATTAATAAAAAAAAAATAAAAATTTTGCTGTCGGCTAACTTAAGTTTTATAAAAATTAATATTTTCAAATTTTTTTTTATTCTGCTTGTATTTAAAGCACATTTATGATAAAAAGATTGTGAAAAAAAAAAAATAAAGATTTCGATAGTTTTTTTGCCTTCAAAAGTTGGAGAAAATTTTGGTTTTCATGTTTTTGGATCAAATTTTTATTTCATCTTTTTTTGATATATTTTTATTTCTAAATTTCTAAATTTTATTGAAAATTTGTTAAAAATGTAATAATTAACTTTTTTTTTTATTGTTAATTTTTTTTATGTATTTAAAAAAAAAAATACACCAATAAAATCAAATAGAAATTTCCTTAAAAAAAAATGAAAATTAAAATGATTGATCCGACTTATAAATATTTCCTAAAATTTTTTATGAAAGTTCGCAAGTAGTTCATTAAAATTTTTTTTAAATAAAAAAAAACTAATAAAATTTTTTTATTTCTTCAGCTAAGAAATAAAATTATCAAAAACTCAATTTACTGTCACAAAAATGCCCATTGTTTAAAAACTAAATTGTTTCTCTTATTACAATGAAGAAAATTACTTACCATCACTGCTGAAGAATAATTAATCAACTATCATTAAAAGATGCCCGAGTACAATAACCACAGGCTGATTAACAATGCAAGAAGAATTAAGTACGTTGTTAAAAGACTTTTGGTTTCGTGAGCTGCGGTAGGCATGGTTGCGTGTTTTTCTAGAGCTTTCACTTGCCAACACTGGAAATCCGGTAAACACGTGCCTTTAAAACAAACTATCGTTACTTTGTTGCTGTATCAATCAAACTGCTAATTTAAACTAAATAGTAATGATTAGTAATAAAACGTAATTACTGTACGCTCTCCCGTTAGCAATTCCGAAGATCAACAAGAAGAGATGTATTAAATAGAGCGAATGTTTGCGAAGGACTTGGAAGTCTTAACTGGTCCAGATACCGCTAATGTCGGGATGAAAATTCCTCCGGGAGAACCCCACCACGGTATTAAATCGTTGATGATCAGCTAGGATTGGCAAACGTCAAGAACGCCTACGCATCCATTGCTCTGCATGGAGACGCACTCGAGTTATATTAAGGTACCTCGACGTCTTTCGGGACCTCGAAATTTCAGCGTCGGTATTCTTCAACCAATACAAACGAATTAAATTGCCCATTTTTTATTTTAACGCTACTGTTGTAAAAACTGAGAAGAAAGAATGAAAAGAAGTTTGGTATTAAAAACTGATCCATTCAATTTGTCACCAGCTTTTGATGATCTTCAAGGTCACGCTTAAACTTTCGGACATTGAACTACATTGAGGTGCAAAATCTTTTGAAACAATGAAATGCCAGCATGTGAAGAACCTTTAAGCAGAAATATTTCTTCACTTGGCTTTTTATCAATTTAAAATATTTTTTTCATACATAAAAATGGTCTCAATGGTTATTAATAAATTTAGAGTCGTATCGGTTGCTAAAAAAAATTTATTTTAATATTATTGAAAGCAAGCTTTTGCCAAAAAAATTCATTTCTTTATGCTAAATTTAATATTGTTTTGCATTCCGTCATTTAATCCGAGAATTATTTGTCGGGAGAGATCAAAGTCCAGTCAAATTGATTGACAGTAGTTATCCTAACTGAGTCTTTGATGATAACTCTCTATTTTAATACTTTATAGTCTTTTAAATTTGCATTCCTAGCAAATGCAGCGGAAAATATAAATTTTGCTATTAGAATTGTAATTTATTGCAGTTTGTGTATAAATTTTGACAAAGTAATTTTAAACTTTAATTTCGGTTCGAAACAACAAATTGATTTAAAAAATCGTTTTCAATAATACTAGTGGATATTGTCCTAAATATCCGTCATGTACATAAAATCACAAAAATGATTTATTGTTATAAAATATATTATAAAAAAAATTTTAATTTATACATCTTAAAAGTTTAATTTTAACTAAATATTTGGGCACTAAAACCTTTGAGATTTATAATCTTCTTGTGTATCAATTCTAAAAATTTTTTAAAAGATATAAAAATGATAATGAGTAATAATATATATTTAGAATAAAAAACAGAAAGTGAAAAAAATTCGAAAAGGTCTAGTCCTAGGATGTATCCACAAATTTGTGTTAAAACCAACTTCCTAGATGACCTAGATTATGATGAGTAAACTTTCTATTTTAATCTCTTAATAATCTATTTCCGGGAACATTCAGCGATAGTAAAAAGTAATATTTACATATTTATATTGTAGATTAAAAAATATTTATAAAAACAATTAAGAATAATTTATTATTAAAAAATTTAATTTTTTACAAACAGACGAGGTAGATAAATCTAATTATATATTTAAATAACCAAATATTTACAAAATTTATCAATAAATCTATCACAAAAAAAAATCATTTAAAACGGCTTCTTATAGAAGAGCTAGTTGTTCTCAAAACCTTGCTTGAAAGTCTAATAGCTCCGCTCTCGGCTTCTCTACCGAGATACTTGACTTTGATCATCTGTCCGACTTCAAAGTTCCGAGCACTAGGATGCGCAAAGACAGTTTGATCCAGATGACTATTAGGAACAAAAACAGGCTTCATATCATCATACAGAATCACCATAACACCACTGTCCTTAACTTGGACAATCTTAGCCTGGTAAATTTCTCCAAAATACATCTCGGGCGTCTTCTTGTCCTTCAGCAGGACATCAATCATCTCCTTAGCTTCTTTCATCGCCGTTTCATTGGGAGCAAAAATCGAGTAGGTTTTATCATCCTGCGGCTGAATAGTCACCCCAGTTTTCAGGTAAATTTTTTTCAAATTATATCCACCGACTCCCAAAAATTGTCCGCGTAAATGAACCGGGACCTCAACGGAATCCATCAAAGGAAGATTAAATTTATCACTTCTCGGAGTTGCCAATGTTTGGTCCATAATATCAAGAATTTTCTTCTTAGCTTCAAGAGCAGCGTCAATACTTTTCTCTACAATTTCCACCGGAAGCCCCGCAAGCTTAATATCAGCTTGAATTGCGGTAATTTTATCTCTCGGGCCGGCTATTTTGAAATCCATGTCTCCTAAATAGTCCTCAATGCCCAAAAGATCAGTAAGAATTCTGTAATCACTAATTGAAGTGCTTTCTTTGTCGTATTTAGTAACCAGGCCAATAGCCACACCAGCAACCGATTGAGAAATCGGAACTCCAGCGTCCAAAAGCGCCAAGCTTCCGCCACAGACGCTGGCCATTGACGAGGAACCATTGGACTCGAGTACTTCGCTCATGAGCCTGATAGTGAATGGATAGTCTTCAGGAATTACAGCTCTTAAGCCACGCTCTGCTAGCGCTCCGTGACCCATTTCTCTCCTGCCGACGACTCCAGCCCGGCCGACTTCATTTATCGCGTAGGGAGGAAACTCGTAGTGAAGAAAGAAATTTTTCTCTTTCACTCCGCTGGTCAGCATCGAGACCATGTCCATCTTTAAAGCGCTGTCCAAGGAATCTAGCGTTACCGAGCAAGAGACTTGGGTTTGTCCGCGCTGAAATAGCGCAGAACCATGGAGCAATTCTAAATGACCGGCTTCACATTTGATATCACGCAGCTCGTCTAATTTACGGCCATCGCATCTTTGGTTGGTCTCGAATATCAGCTCTCGGAAGACTTCTTTAGATATAATATTAAAAGCCTCGACAACTACTGTAAGATTCAAATCTTCAACACTTTTTTTCATGGTCTCCATTATGCTAGTCCTCAAATTATTAATCGCGTTGTCTCTTGATATTTTGTCGTGATTAAAATCCGTGAAAATATTCCTCAGTTGGATCTCTGCTAGAGATTTTATTGAAGCTAGAAGTTGTTCGTCGAATTTCACCTCTTCAAAAGGTCTCTTGGGCTTTCCGTGAGTTGCTGCTAGTTTTTTTATCGCGTTAATTATCTCTTGGCACTCCAGTACTCCTCTTTGGATGGATTTCTTTAAATCATCGCTGTTAATCATGTTCGCGTATCCGTCCATCATCACCAGCATGTTGTTGTTAGCGGCAGAGACTATCAAATTAAGAGAACTATGTTGTAATTCGTGGTTAGTTGGGTTTATTACTATGTCGTTGTCTATAAAGCCGACTCGCACCGCTGCCACGGGTCCGTTCCAGGGGATGTCTGATAGAGCCAAAGAAGCAGACGCTGCATTTATCGCTAAGACGTCGGGTAGGTTTTCACCGTCGATCATAAAGGTATTGGTGATCAATTGGGTCTCGTAGCAGAAGCCCTTTGGGAAACTTGGACGGACTGTGCGGTCTATTAGCCGCCCGGCGGTTATTTCATACTCGGTTGATCCTAGCTCACGGCGAAGAAAGTTTGTTGGGATTCTTCCGGTTGCTGAGGCTTTTAATCTGTAGTCTACTATCAATGGCATAAATGAGCTGGATGATGCTTGCGTTTTGCATACTGATGTTACCATCACTGATGTCTTTCCTGATGAGACCATCGCAGAACCACTGGCCATCTTCGCTAGCTTTCCCGTTGATATGACCATTTTTTTTCTGGAAAGAATTTTTATTATGAAATTGTAGTTAGTAGTCACGACTATTTTTTAATTTTTTTTTACCATAATTTACTTGTTACAAAAATTTTTAAAAATATCAAATATCTATTAAATTATAATCTTCATATTTTTATCTTATTATTTTTTTTGAAAAGAATTTTATTTAATTATTAGATATTATTATTTTAAAAATTGTGATTTCTATTATTTATTTATTTATCAAAACGTCAATCAGCAATATACAGCATTTTATAATTTCTATAATGAATTGAATAGAAAAAAAAAAAAAAAAAAAAAAATTGTAAGTGCATGATGTATTATTTATCTAGAATTTTAAATGAAGATTAAGTTAGCTGATATTTAAAAATTTGTAGAATTTTTTTTATTGAAGAAATTATTGCAAAAAATAAAAAAAAAATAAAATTTTAAATAATAATTATTATTGTTATTATTCTATGAAAGTTTCACGTGAGTTATTTTTAAGAAATTTAATTTTTTATTGTCTATATTTAGTTCCATGTATAATCTAGCTTTATGTCACTTGTCAAAATTACAATTTAATGAAAGTAGTTGGGAAACAGTTTAGTTTTTTTTTTTTTTTTTATCTACAATTACTCGAAATTGTTCAAACTTTCATATTTATGTAACATTCTAATTGTTAAATTAATCAAAATTTCACTAGGACCTTAATTTAACCATTCAGTCTTTAGGAACTGATAGTTTGGTTACTAAAATATTTTTCAAGATTATTCTTGCTTTTACTAAGTAAAAATTGTCTCAAGAATAAATAATGAAAATTAAATTAGCCGACATTTGAAAATTTTTATAATTTATTTTATTAAAAAAATTGTTATAAAAAAATTTCACAAGTTGAAAATTTGAAAAATTATCTCTGCAATTTTTTTACTTGTAATTTAATTGATGAAAAAAAAAAATCAAAAATTGTTATCTAGACATCAAAGTATAATTTATCAATCAGTTATTTGAATGACTGAAGGCCAAATTAAAAATAAATTATCAGTATTAGTTATAATCAATTTATAACCTAATTACTGTTAAAAAAATAATATTTACCCATCTCCAAGTGGCACATCAACTTCTGCAGTACTCCAATCAGTTCCGACACTTCTGACCTGTATTTTCTTACGATACCTCTCATAATTTTTTAATAATCTAACTTTGTTATTTAATATCAAACGTAAGTTAACTAAATAAGCCATAATTCGATATAGACTTGTATATATGTTACAACACGTGCTTGCTACTTTGCTATCAAGTGTAGAATAATTTGGTATCGTCAATTGATAAAGCAGGAAAAAATTAATTTAAAAAAGAGTGAAACCATTATTTTTTTTAATTTTAATTTAAAAAATTTATTTCTTCAAAAATAGCTTAAAATTTTGCTATCTGTTAATTTATTTAATTTTATTTAAATAGTCCTATTTAAAAATTTAAGCAAAATAAAAAATTAATTCGTGCGAACGTGAAAAATTTTTCAATTTAACTAAAAAAAAATTTTTATTAGTTACAATTTTATTTTAAAACTTCAATAGCTGTACACTAAAAGCTGAGTGTAAATTATTAATATAAACGTAACATTAAAAACTAAATTGCATCGCAAGATAAATTTTGAATTTTTTACTAGTATTTTATTTATTTTAAAATTATCCTAATAATTTATCCCTAGAACTGTAAGACCTCATTTAACCGCTTAATCAGTCTTGAAAATCAAAACGTATCTGCCGAATGTTCTGTCGATGTTCCGCAGTTAAAATAGGATTAATAACACGACCTATTAAATTTATTCTATTCCTAAAACGCTCGCGGTCTCTCGCAATCTCTTCCCAAGGTCCTTTGCGAGCTGCTCGATATGCATAGTTCCATTTAATCATCGTGTGAATCAACGGCTTTGGATCAAAACGTACCTAAAATAACAAAAGATTAGTAATCAATAATTATAATTACAAATTTAAATTATATAAAGTAAAATAAAATAAATCTTACTTTTGATTCTCTTCTTTCACCAGGTGAATCATCAAGAGCTGAATATTCAACAGGACATTTTGACGGAGAAACATCTTTAAACATAATAAAATCTGTGTCATCAACACAACTATCAGAGTCAACAGAACTTTCAGAGTAGCGTCTAGATCTGAAGTCAGATTTTGAATTAAATTCTACGGTAAATTTATTGTAAGAATCTTCATCGGTATCTTCATCGGTATCTTCACTATCATCATCATCATCATCATCATCATCATCCCCGCTGGTCGAACAATACTCACTGTCCTGAGATTTCTCAAATACAATAAAACTATCTCCAGATCCATCAGAACTTTCTGAAATTTCCCGAGTTCTAGAGTTAAATTTGCATTCAATAGAATTTTTATTTTCTATTTTTGATATAGATATCTCCAACGATTCTTTTTGGATCATTTCAACATCCTTGCTTTCAGGTACACTGTTCGGACATGATAAATCAAGTAAATCAAAATCCTCTCCATCAATTTCCATTCTTTCAGACTGTGTGCCCAGTATTTTTGTATTATTATTACCAATTGTGGCATTACCGGAAAATAAACTGTTCCCAATACTTTCCTCACAGGCCGCCTCAAACGCCACATCAACAAACAATTCCTCAGCATGCTTAGTATGCTCACTCCAGGTCTGTCGATGGATATTATCAGCGCTGAGAAATTTTCTATGAGGTAAATTGCTCCTCGGCTTGCAAAAAATCTCGGATAAAAATCTGCTGGGCTTAAAAGTCTCGGAGTTTCTCGAGAGTTCTTCATCAATTTTCATACTCGTGTCCATGTCCGTATTAATTTGAATAGTTTCTTTACTACTTAAAGGTACACTAACATACAAATCTCTCGACGGAATATTATCACCGTTGGATACAACCGTAACAGAAAATTCTTCATTTAAATTAGATACTACATTTGGTAACTTACGTACAAAAGATTTAACAGAACCAAACACGTCCATCATGCCGTCTAAAATTGCTTTTTTTGATCTACTGCAACTAGTAGCAACGTTAATTTTATTTTCCCCAGAGCTTGACGCTTCTTTCTTGCTATACTCAGTGTTGTCATCCATACTGCATGCATGCGGAGGTAAATTTGTACCTGACTGAATACATTTTGCTCCAAGTGATAGTAATGAGTTTTTAATTGCTGAATTTTCAGTTTCAACAAAATTTAAAGCTGGCGGGTAAGACGATCCCAACAGACTGGGCACATCAAAAGTCAAAGATCTTGATCTTCTTGGAGAGCACTCCATTTTTATAATTTTGTAAATTTATTTTATGCTAAATTATTTTTTTCCTAATTAATTTTTCAACCAACACCTGAAACAAATTTTTTTTTTTTTTTTTTTTTTTAATTATTTACTTACGTATTTTGTAAAACTATAAAAAATTATAATTTAATTTGAGAGACTAATTGTAAGTTTAACAAGACATTTAGGCGATCATTCAGTGATAACGTGGACAAATAGCCGAGTAATTAGTGATTGTAAATACAATTGTTTTTTTTCTGATGCAATAGTTTAGAAAGCATATGGCTGAAAGTAAAAGTAAATAAATAAGTCTTACCACGTGATTTAGACAAAAAATATCTTTGATAAATTTTTTTTTATATAAATTCGTGATTTATTGATGTGTAAATAAAGAATATTAATGATAAATTTATGTTATAATTACCACTTTGTAATACATTCCAAATTTCTTGTATTTACACCACCGAAAAATGAGCAAGTAAATAAAATTTTTTTGACTTTAAAATTATTTGTACAATCAATAAAAATTTCTTTTACTAAAGTCATTAATTTAATTTCTTTTTTTAATATAGATTTTGAAAATTCCATTATCACAAGGAAGAAATATTTTAATAGATAAAAATTCCACGCTTTATGAAGCCATTTTCAATATTATTTTACTCTAACTCTTAGCTTGTTGGTTATGATTATGACATGTTCTGGAAATTTATTATTTCGACATTGAACATTTTTTTTCTCAGAAGAAAACAGAGAAAAACTTATCATCAGATGTTATAACTTGACCGTCGGTAAGAAAAATTTCTTCAATAATAATTAAAAAATTTTAAATTCATCATCATAACAATGAATTCTGACACCTAAATTATAAAAGTGAATTAAAATAAAATAATTACATTACTTATTTATTAAAAAATGACAACAGTTCATTTATAGTTACTAGAATTTAATTTGCGCGCCTCATATTTATTGTCATGATATATATATATATATATATATATATATATGTGTCATTTATGCATTTTATATTCACTTTCAACCAATCAGAATGAGAATATTTATTTTCGACCAACCACAACACGAAAAAATTGGTTTGACATACATTTCATCTCAATTTTATTATGGGTTTAATTAATTAATTAATTATGGGATTAATAATTATTATGGGATAGTTTAAAATTATCTGAAATATTTATTGACCTCAAAATGTTAATCAGAACTACGAGACACCTGAACAATGTCATAAACAATAGGAGTTTTAATTTACATTACAGATCTATTTGTTCACAAAATAATTTAAACAATAACTCTGTAAATAATGAAGAATATAAACTAAAAAAAAATGGGTTATTTAAAAATTTTAATACAAAAATTCATCTGTCAAGCAAGTTGATATAATCCGAACAAAAACAGTTTCACTGTAAAAAAAAAAAAATTGTATATGATTTTCCGAAATTAGAAAAAATTTTGTTGTAAATTTAAAAATTAAAAAGCAATTTTGGAACGTATTTAGTGTGCGTGGTTACGAAATTTTTCACTTTTTATGAAATTCCTAAAATCTATCTACTAGGACTTTTTATTTAAAAAAAATTGAAGTACACAATGACGCACATGGAACGTACTTGGTGTGCGTCATTGTGTATTTCAATTTTTATAAAGTCCTAGTAAATATCTTAATAGTCTTATGAACGTGGACTTGGCGCGATTTTTTTACAGTGAAACTGTTTTTGTTCGGTTCTAGTTACAATAAAAAAATAAAAATCCTAATATAAAATTGAGATGAAATGTATGTGGCATCAAACTATTCGTAACGTGATTGGTCGAATATATCATAAGCATGAAAATATATGCAAATTCCATAGTCAAGCGCGCGCTTGCGCGCGTAAATTCAAATTCTAGTATCTTTAAAAATATCAATGAAATTAATCGTAAATGAGACTAAGTTAATTTATCATCAGATGTTATCACTTGACTGTCGATAAAAAACATTTCTTCAATAATTATTTAAAAATTTTGAACCCATATAATATCGTCATAACAATGAATTCTAACCTAAATTGTAAAAGTGAATTAAAATAAAATAACATTAATTATTTTACTAATCAACAATAGTCAATTTATAGTTAATAGTTTAAAATTATCTGTAATATTTATTGACCACAAAATGTTAATCAGAACTACGAGACACCTGAAGAATGTCATAAACAATAGGAGTTTTAATTTACATTACAGATCTATTTGTTTACAAAATAATTTAAATAATAACTCTGTAAATAATGAAGAATATAAACTAAAAAAAAATGGGTTATTTAAAAATTTTAATACAAAAATTCATCTATCAAGAAATTATAGCACTGCTCCAGTAGATTTAACCACTGCTATTAATCCACCGATTACAAAATATGATGTGCTCATGAAATTCTTAATTGATAATCCGGCTATTGAATTTTGTCAACAATCATTGATATCATTTCATGCAAGTACCGGTTTACCTTGGTGGGCTACTATTGTACTTGTCACTTGTACTGCTAGAACACTTGTCACATTACCTTGTGCCTTATATCAGGTAAACTAATTTATGATATTAAAGTTAGCTGCCACTTGATAATTCTTTATTTATTTTTTTTTTGTAACAAAAAAATTTTTTTCAAAAAAAATATTTTTAAAAAATTGCATTTTTTATTTTTTAAAATGAAAAAAAAAAAAAAAAAAACAAAAAAAAAAAAATTTTTTTTTGCTCATTTATTTGTTACAAAAATTCTTAAAATTTAATAAATACCTGTTAAATTAATTTTCATAATTAATTTTTGAATCTAATATCTAAATTTAATAAAATTTATTTAAAAAATAATGATACTAAAATTGAGAGACATCTGATAATTTTTTTAACAAATAAATTATAGCAAAAAAAAAAAAAAATTACACTTTTAGAAACTCTAGAAAATTATAAATAAAATTGAAAAAAAATTTCCTGTACCTAGTTTATTTTTCAATGATAATAAAATAAAATAATAACTAAATATTTTTTATTATTTCAGCAATATATATTTGCAAAGGTGACACACGTAAAGTATGAAATGAATGAACTTGTCAAAGAATTAAAACGAGAAACAAATATTGCTGTCACTATTTATGGATGGACTGAAGATTATGGCAGAAGTGTTTATAATAGATCTGTAGGTATAAAAATTAATTAGTTAATTATTTATCAATTATTATAGTTAATAATATTTTACTAATTCTATAAAATATTACCAGTTGAAAAAACAATGGGACAAGTTAATAATTCGGGACAACTGTCACCCGATGAAAGCAATGATTCTTGTGATCTGCCAAGTACCACTGTGGGTCATGTTGTCAGCTAGTTTTAGAAATATATGCTTCATGCTTCCTTATCCTACGCCAGGTATAAATTTCTTCAATTTTATACATTGAAGTTAAATAACTTAGCAGTAAATAAAATTAATGACAAAATTTTAGCTGCTCATCAAACGTTTTTGGAGCTGTCAGTTGAAGGATTTGGGTGGATATCTGATCTCACTGCTATAGATAGTTTTTATATTTTACCGCTTTTAGTTGGAGTTTTTAATCTGGCTAATGTTGAGGTAAATTATTATCTATATTATTAGGAGAATAATAAAAATTTGGTGTTCAGGATAAGTATTTAAGCTGCATTCGAAAATACTCTATCTCTAGATACATAATTAAGAAATTACCTTGTATCTTGTGAAATATTGACATTTTTAAAGATATAAGCTCATCCCGATGTTACACTCATCGAGACCTTTCATTTGAGTACCCACATCAATATTTCATATATTTATATATATTATATATATGTATATATGAAAAATATATGAAAGTGCATGTGTGTACTCAAATGAAAGCTCTTGATGAGTGTAACATCAGGATGAGCTTATATTTAAAAAAATGTCAATAGTTAAAGAAATACAGTGCAAATACAATATTTAACAATATTCATTATTTAATAAAGCAAAATTTTATTTATTTATAGTTCACATAATGACTGCAAGGTTGTCAGTTAAATTTATTTAAATAATTTTTTAAAAATTAATTAATTTAATTTTGCAGATGTTACATATGATGAGAATAAAAAAGGCATCGAAAGTTCAAAAATTTTCCATGTGGGTCGGCAGAGCAATTTCGCTGATATTGGTACCCATCGCTTGCATGGTTCCATCAGTAAGTCAATAAATAATTTTTAAATTATTTAATCAATCGAATATTTATTTTCGTTTTATTGCAGGGTATGAGTCTTTACTGGACAACAAGCAGCGCGTATAGTATCGGACAAAATTTACTTGTTCTCTCCCCGAGGTTCCGCAGGTTGTGCAGAATTCCGGAAACTGAAGATGATATTACTCAACCGTATAAATATTTGTACAGTAAAATAAAACAGCGGATTGGTGTTAAGAGTTAATAAAAGTTTTTAAAGCTTATCAATGTTGTTTATTTATTTTAAGCTTCTTAATATTAATTATCAGTAATGATAATCGTAATTGATAATTACCGAGGCGTAAATTTTCTAAAAATATATATTTTTTAATGGATTAATTAGTACGAAAGAGAAATTTTTAAAAATAAAATTCAAGATAATTTTATAATGAAAAATTACTCAAGCTTGAAATTTAAATACCGAATGATGTAAATTAAATAACAGCATATAAATTATAGTTATTGAATAATTTTACACGTGTTAAGTAATTAGCGTATGTATATAGTATTTTAATTTAAATAAATTAAATAATTGTGCCGATTATTTAAATCACTTACGTGAATTTTAAGTTGAATGATTTTTTAAAAATATACATTGAAGAAATAAATTAATAAAAAAATTTTTATTAATTATTTTTAAAACAATTCTATGAAAATAGAAGAAATAAATCATATTGTAACTATCAAGTCATTTTATTTATCAAGTTATCTAGTATTAAACATCAAAAATAATTTATAATTTAATTCTTAACTTTTCAACTTATAATCTTAATAATTACTCACACATTAATAATAAAAAAAACCCAAGATAAATTGATTTCAGGAATTAATAACGAAGAAGCATTTTATTATCTGGATTGATGAATAATTGTTAATAGAAACCCAGATGTGTTTACCAGTAGCTAACAATTAATCAGTCACAACTGTGCATTATAATTCAACTATTGCTCAAAACTTGTATTACATAATTAAATACTATAATAACTGTAAAAAAAAAAAAATACTTTAAGTACTAAAAAGTCAATAAATTTGAGTCTTATTCTATTAAAAGTATTTTATTAAGCAGATATTAAACCAGCGCGGCGATAAAAGTGTAATAAAGTGAAATATTGAATTGACCGCGGTCAATTGGTTTATTATTTTTTTCAACTCCATTAATAAATTCGTTATTGTTGTATGACACATGACTGTAATTTATAAATTGTATTGATGCAAGATGCTGCGTATTAAATGTAGGCCACAAATGAAGACACACTTGTAATAGTTTAGTTATATTTATTTAATGCACGGAAAGACCGCTTCAGCATTGAACCTTTAACCGCGACCTAGCTGATAACCTTTTGCTGGGAAATGCTTCTGTCTTCGACAATATTTGTCTATATATTAATAAAAAGATTATCGTGAGGTTTTTTTTTTTTTTTCGTCAGAAGACAGCAAGACAACGAGCCAGTATTGACTTAAACGCTTTACCAAGTAGACACAAATACTGACAAGTGTCTTTAATAAAATAATACTTGTTAGATATTTTTATTTCTATTACATATATATTTATTTTATAAATATAAATATTCTGATCGGTCGATTTCTTCATTCAGTCGCTGCATGACATGTGTGTAAGAGTGTTATTAATTTAATAGTTTAAATAAAATTTAGTGGCTAAAGATCATGAAATTAAATGTCATTTTTTTATTTTTCTTCTTGGAAATTGTCAGAGGAGTAAGTAATTTTTTTTTTAATTTAATTCATAATTAATAAAAAAAAATTAAATACACGGAAAAAAGTAAACCGTAATAAATAATAGTCGATTTATAATAAGTAATTATCAACTTTGTATACTTTATATAATAATTAAGAATTTTGACTGATATTTATCATTTCGTACCTAAAAAATAAATAAAAATTAAGTTACACGGAAAGAACAAGATTATACTGGATATAATCCCAGATTATACTGAGTGAAAAAAAAATTTCAGATAGTAGCTAGTATAATTCAGATAACAATGAGTATAATCCAGATTATAATGAGTATAATCGAGATATTATTCAGTATAATCTGGATTATACTAGCTACCATCTGAAATTTTTTTTCGCCTCAGATGTCATTGAGTATAATCTGAGATGGTATCCAGTGTCATCTTGTTCTTTCCGTGTAGCCGACATTTAAAAATTTTTTAATTTTTTTTTATTGAAAAAATTATTACAAAAAAAAAAAAAGTAAAAAAATTACATTTGTAAAGAATTTTAAAAACTGTAAGCGCAATTTTTTTAAAATATTTTTTTGTTCTAATTTAATTATTAAAAAAAATTAAAAACGTCGGCTAACTTTAGTATCATAAAAAATGGTCGCATGATATGTAAAAAATATAAATTACAGTTAATAAATTTTCTATAGAAGCAACGTCAATATTTAAAAAGTTAAATGGTAAATTTTAAAACACAACGCTAAAAATCAAATTATAATTATTGACTTGCTTGGACTGGTAAAATGTTTCAAATGTTAAATTCTCCTTAAAACCCCCTTCTCCTCATCTAAGTTCCTCTTCTTCTCATATAGAATGGACTATATATTGAAACGGAAATTTTTACTGTTTGAAACTAATTTTTTAAGATGACAGAGTCGTTATTTATTATAGTGACAGCTACTAATCACTTATTTTCGATACTAAATTATAAATTGTGGCTTTTACATTTTCTACATTAAATTAAGTTCTGTAATATTTATATTATTGCCACCGAGTGAATTTTACAATTTACTTTTTGTCCGTGTAAGTTTATTTAAATTTACGTGAAGAATATAAAATAATTTAAAATATTTGTGTTTGGCTTTACAAATGAATATTAAGTGTGAAGATAACAGATAAGATAGATAATGATAATATGATTAGGTAGAAGAAAATTCAACATGTGTTATGGCATTATTATTATAGATTTATGATCCAGCATTAACGACGACAAAACCACCGCAGCGTCGAGAATCTTTGCCTTGGTATTTATCAGGTGAAGATTCCATACCACCCGCAGAATTTCTGCTGCCGCCTAGAGCCAAACCATCAGAAGCTCAGACGCAGAGAAATGTCCCCGGTACTAAAGGTTCGAGTAATTGGCGTAAGAATTCCCGGAGCGATATTGAACAGCGCTCTGAAAAGGACACCCACCACATTCCGTATAATTATTACAATAATTACAATGACAATCTTGGATTTTACGATCAAGTGCAGTCTGTAACAAATGATGATCATCAAAGTTACGATAACTTTGGATCTTACAATCTCAACGGGAATTTATATAACCAAAATTTAGCCGGTAGTAAATCTCGAGATGTCAAAGGTACTCTAAAGGATTTTAATAAAATTAAATTTACGGAACAGAGTATCTATGAAGGAGTTACCGATGATTACAATGTACGTTTTGCATGCAGATTATAATTATTTTTATTAAATAAATTTTTTTATTGATTGAAATAAATTTTATACGAGAAGAATATTGAAATAATTGGAATGAATAAATTAATTAATTACATTGACATTTAAATAATTTTATAATTGCACGCATTGAATATTTAATTTTCTAATAATAATGAAGGCATGAATAAATTTCACCCGCAAAATATCAAATATAATTAAGCTAAATTAAATTATAATTATTTCATCAATTGCTGCATGATGCGAAACAAGTTTTTAATTAAATTACGCATTGAAAATATTTATCGACAGTGTATTGATTAATATTTCAAAGCTATACTGTTTTATTAACTCTTCAGCATGTGAAATATCATTAACTTTAAAATATTTAAAAAACAGTGAATAGAAACGGAGAAATTCAAGAGTCAAGCTGCATCTTGCATCCCGCATGTGAACTAATGGATTTTATTTAACCCAATAAAGAAAAATATAATTATAAATAGTTAATTTCAACAGAAACCACGTAAAGAAGCGATTGTCGCTCGGAAAGAAGAGTCAAAGGTGGCAAAGTACGACCGAGCAACAGGAGTAGAGTGTCCTTACCCGGAAGCAACTGGTCAGTTTATTTACCCAATTGACTGTAATTTCTTTGTAAACTGCTGGAAAGGACGTGCTTTTATCCAGCCATGTGCACCTGGAACTAGATTCAATCCCGAAACTCTTGAGTGCGATTTCCCTCACAAAGTTAAGTGCTACGGCGGAGAGTTGGCTGACTTTGTAGGATCGGATTACTCACAGCCGGAAATTTCTGGACAACGAGAGCCTTTGTCGATTAAATATTCTCCATTAGTTACTGCTGAGGTTAATGTATGTCAAGCTATCTCTAAGCTCCATCAAACTCACTCAAGAGTTTCTAAATCCACTGATAATTCCTTTTAGAAGCATGTAGAGATTAGTACTAAGCATTCACCACTTAAACCAATAATTAACAAGTACTTTTAGTTTATAAATTAAAAAAATTCTAATCAAAAATTTTCTTTTCCCATCAGAATTACCAACCAACATGTCTGGAGCAGCTGACTGGGTTCCTACCGCATCCAGAAGACTGCAAAAAGTACCTCCAGTGCGTGAATGGTCAAGCGATTATCAGAGACTGCGGCCCGGGGACAGTATTCAACCCTATAATAAGCGTCTGCGATTGGCCTAAGAATGTTCGAGGCTGCGAAAATGCGATCGAAGAACCTGAAGACACTCTACCTCTTTATCTTACTCCTCCGCGATCTGCGCCAATAATATCGCCGACCAGAGATAGTTTCTCAAGTTATGTAATCCCGAATTCTCAGAATAGTTGGAGACCAATTCCTCGACAACAAGTGATTCAACCGATCGCTTGCCCAAGGGACTTTTCAGGAATCACCAAGCACCCTACGGATTGCGCTAAATTTTTACAATGCGATCATGGTGCGACTTTTATAATGGACTGCGGACCGGGGACTGTTTTTAATCCCAGTATTAGTGTCTGCGACTGGCCATATAATGTTCCCGGTTGCAGTCAAGCTGGTCATAATAATAATGATGATGATAATAATAGTCCGGTAGAACGTGAAGGAAGGACACACGATTTGAATTCTTGGAATCAACAAGGAAATTCTAACAGTGGGTTCAATTCAAATCATCCTGGTTATAGTCCAAGCCAAGGTAGACCTTGCTCATACCCTGGCTGTTCGAATGTAGGTCAGGGACAAGGACAAGGGCAAGGGTTAGGGTTAGGATATAGTCCAGGACAAGGACAAGGTCAAGGAAGGTTCCCTCCAAGATATCCAAATCGGCAAAACCGGCCACCAATTGTTGACAATCGTTCTTCTAGACCAAATTCTTACAACCCGCAACAAAATCCTCACCAAAATTATCCTCACTACAGCACCAATGATAATATCAGGACCAATAATGATAATTTGAGAGAGTTTCCAGCGTTTCCGGGTAACATTTATGTAGAAGCGCCTAGAACGAACAATCAATGGAAACCAATCATGAGTAATAATAATAATAATAATCAGTGGAATCAGCCTACTTGGAGACCGGCTTCCGTTGATTCAACTCAGAAGCCTGCGGTATATAATGGCCATGGGTATGGATATAATCCTTCTGGGGGATTTACTCCGGGAAGGTGGTCTGATCACGATCAAGGCTTGTCGCCTCATTCGATCAATCAAGGTAAGTAATCCATTTGAACTTGCATTTCCAATTGTATTGTTCGATGTATTTGAAGTAGGTGTAGAGCTTCTGTAGAAGCCTCTCGAGCTTTGTAACTAAAACCTTTTAAAAATTTATTAACGCTTTTGCTTCTACATGTGTCTATTTTTTATTTTTTATTCGTCTGAAAAAAGCAATGAATAAAGAATAAGAAGTGTAGAACGAATTTTATCCCAGCTAATCTTTATGGAGTAGCTAAGACTAATTTACTAGCATTGATAAATTTTAAAGAGTCTCCAATAAGTTTTACGGATAAGCCCAGTTACCGGCTATCAATTCCTGGAAATTCAAAGACACAACCAAATCCGGGGATGAAAGGCAAGGATATTTATAATCAGGCGAAAGGTCAATCGGCAGGTATGAATAGAATCGTTAATTTAGATTTGTATTTTTGTTTTTGGGTCGATTACTGTTAATAATAAACTAGCAACCTTGCAGTCACTATGTGACTGCCGTTGTGAACTATAAATAAAAAAAATTTTGCTTTATTAAATAATGACTTTTGTTAAATTGAACTGTACTTTTTAAAATATTGACGTTTTTAAAGATATAAGCTCATCCTGATGTTACACTCATCAAGAGCTTTCATTTGAGTGCCCACATGCATTTTGATATATTTTTCATATATACATATATATAATATATATGAAATATATGAAAAATTGATGTGGGTACTCAAATGAAAGCTCTTGATGAGTTTAATATCAGGATGAGCTTATATCTTCAAAAATCTCATTAGTTGACAAGATCGCAAAGTCAATTTTTAATTATTGACATTTTTTAAGATATAAGCTCATTCCGATGTTACACTCATCAAGAGCTTTCGTTTGAGTACCCACAT